TTCCTTCCAGCAGCCAATCCGCGCCCGCACCGCCGCCGCCTCAACCAATAGCCGGCGGCTCTGGCGGGAGGCAGGACCTCTGGAGGGTGACCTACCCGGCATCCACCGCGCCCGGAGGGGGACGTGTGGGACCTCCCCGGTGGTGACCCGGCCTGGTCACGTGGTTGGGCTTATCCAATAAGAAGAGGCTCCGGAAGGGCGGTGGGAGGAGGAGCCGCCAGTGGTTGCTTGGCGACTGTGGTGTAGGGGTGAATAGCAGACGGCATTTTGCAGTGTATATTTTTACCGTACACTTTACACTTGAGCAGTGAGTTCACTGGAAAAAACATATTATTAAAAATAAATCGGAAGAAGGAGCGTGTCTCCCGGCGTTGCGCCCTCCCCGGCGAGGCCTTGCAGCCCTTCCTCGAACTACGACTCCCGACGTGCACAGCGGCCCCCCTTGCTTCCCCGCCACCGGCCAATCGCGCCTCGACAGGAACAAAGCGCGCCGCGAGTGGCGGAGAGGCTCCGGCCAATGGGATTGCGGGGTGGTAGTGGGGTGCCGGGGTCGGAGCGGGCCCTGGCGGGTGGTGCGCGTCTTGGGGGGGGCTCCGGTGCCGGCCTCTTCATCCTCCTCATCCCTCATCCTCCTCCCGCCGCTCTCGATGGGGGTCTTTTGCGACGGTACGGGGAGGGGAACGGGCCGCGTCGGGGTGGGCGGGAACGGGGAAGGGCGGGAAGGCCCTGAGAATGGGGGGGGGCGGTGGCTGAGGTCCCTCCCGGGGGGTTTCCCGTCGGTCGGTCGGTCGCTGGGGGGGTTGTGCCTCCCCGGGGGCCTTGTGGCGGCCGGGCTGTCAGCTCAGCGTGACGGGCGAGGGGTGAAGCTGCGGCCCTTCCTCTCCCGGGCCTCCCCGCTGAGGAGAAGGAACGGAAAGTGAGACCCACAGAGAGATCCGCGGGGCCTGTGTGAGGCTTTTACCTCAAAGCTGCAAGGAGGGGAAAAGAGCCGGTAGCTGGCTAACTGGTCTGCTAGGCCCCTAAATTCTAGATAACTTCTTAAAACTTTTAAAACGACTTAAATGGTTTTATTGCATTAAAAAACCCCAAAACCCTGGGGGTCCTAGTTTTCATAAAATTGGTCGTTGTGGGTAATGGAGAAGGTAAGGGCTTAAGTTGTCTCAGTTGTAGCTGAGGAGTGAGGGGGAAGGATCTGGGGAGGAGGCGAGTGTGGACTAATATGAGGAGAGTGAGGTTTGGCTTTGTGCTTTTTCAGGAGATCAGAAGGAAAAAGGCAAAAGGCAATCAGGATGGAGGGAGTTGTAGGATTCTAGGTTCTCAAGGTTCAGAACTGGAACAGAGATGGGTTAGCATCAGCTCCACAACTGGCTTGATTTCTGAATAAGTTCATCTACTAACTATGACAAATCATTAGTAATATTTAACAGAGATTTGTCTGTCTTAAATTTAGAGTTGTCTGCTTTGGAAAGATAAATTACTATTTATTGGTTGAGCTGCTGTATTTCCCGGTTGATCTTTTTTTGGACTTTTTATAGTCAAGAAAAATAGCCTGGAGTCTAATCATTGGCATGTACTTTTCACATTAGCACTCTCTTTCCTGATGGAAGGAGCAGTGACTGAGAGATTAACAGCATTTTTTATGTGAAAATGTCAGAAATTATTACAACCAAAATGCGTATTTGTGGTTTGGGTGGTTTTGGTGGGGTTTTTTTGATGAGTGTGATTAATTTGTGTTGCTGAAGGCCTATCTTCAGGAAGAAAACAACAGTATTGTACAATCTTATTTGTTTGGGAAATGACCTTAAAAGAATGTGACCGCTTACAAATTGAATTTGTTTTATTTTTATTCAGGAGGAAAATGAGAGAGCTCAAATTAACAACATATATTTACTCACGATTTCGTGCCCTATGGAAAGTTACTGGCATGAGTTGGTCCTGGCCATGCCAGGACCACAGTGGGCATTTAATAGTTTCAGAGGCACATAATCAGTTTTTTGGAGGAAACTAGTCTTTTGCACCAAAATACAGCGTTTTCTCTGAATAAACTTAGGCTTTTGTTGCCTGTGAAGTAGTTATTCCTTATTAAACAACTCTGGAATCTTGATAGTCTTAACCTAACACGTGTCTCCTTTGAAATTGATACGTTGGCTTGGACTTCGGCTGGAGCAAGGCGTGACCTTCTTTCTTTCTTGTTATTGAGAGGGCCCTACTAGTGAAAAGAAAAAAAACAAACCCAAACCCCACCCTCTAAAACTCTTTTTGCCTTCAAATCTTAACCTAACACGTGTCTCCTTTGAAATTGATACGTTGGCTTGGACTTCGGCTGGAGCAAGGCGTGACCTTCTTTCTTTCTTGTTATTGAGAGGGCCCTACTAGTGAAAAGAAAAAAAACAAACCCAAACCCCACCCTCTAAAACTTTTTGCCTTCGAATGATTATGGCATTACACTAGTTATTTGATATACAGATCCAGATTAAAATGTAATATTCCCTGTTCTTAATGTAGTCTTTTACTGGCTTTTCTGGTTCATTTTTGTGTAAAATTCTGTTATTGCTGAAGGTACTCTGAAAATACATATTTTGATTTTACATGTGTTTATACAGAAGGATGTTTATAGACTACTAGGGTGCCTTGTTGTGAGAAAACGATGGATTTCTCAGAAATATTTGTCAGTAGTGTAAAAAAAAATCAACACAAACATATTCCCTTAAAGGCTGGCTGGTCTGAAAGTACATATAGAAAACAGATCAAAATATTATTAACCAAACCTACCAGTTCTCTGCATACAAAGTTCAGATTTCTAGTTTACAGATTTCAAGATCTGCATCTTTATCAATTCCATACATGAATTTTAGTCCTTGATATATTTTTTTTAGTATTTCTACGCTTATGACAAATCACTGCCTTTGTGCTTGGGTTTTAATTGATGATAAAATTTGTGGTATTAGTAACAGAGATACTTTTTTTTTTTCAGCAGGTGTTTTGTATGCATGGTGCAGAGAAAATGAATTCTACTATGAGTGAGGAGCCCGACGCGCTCTCTGTCGTTAACCAACTCCGAGATCTAGCAGCTGACCCATTGAACAGACGGGCCATTGTTCAGGATCAAGGATGCCTGCCAGGTCTTATTCTGTTTTTGGACCATCCCAGCCCTCCAGTTGTTCATTCAGCTTTACTAGTAAGTGTTCTGGAGATAAATTCATACGTCAGTAGGTTGTTTAGTGACTTGAAACAAGTAAAAAAAAATAAAGCTTGGGTTTGTTATGTTGATATTCCAGTTGTTCATTCAGCTTTACTAGTAAGTGTCCTGGAGATGAATTTGTACGTCAGTAGGACGTTTTGTGACTTGAAACAAGTAAAAATGTTAAAAATAAAACTTGGGTTTATGTTATGTTGATATTTGTTATATGTGTTTTTTTGCAAACATATATTTCAAAAATCATTTAGCAATGACACATTATTCCAGGGGTATTTATGTTTTTTTTTGGAAGAGAATAATTTACTTTGCATTTTTCCCTAATACAGCTATTTCCCTTTTTGTGTGGAGGGAGGTAAGCACCCTTAAATCTCTTTCTTAAGATGAAGTTATGGACCTTGGTAAATACATGTGGTGTAAATAAATATACTTGGTAAATATGTGATTCAACATTCATATTGTAAAAAAATAAATAAATAGGAAATTCTATTATTCTGTATTTATAATTTGTTTTACTTTCATGGTGAATATTAGTGGAATTCTTGGAATTACTTGTGTCTCTACAGTGTCTTCAGATACTCTTCTGGGTTCAGGGAACGGGGTCCCATAATCCAGGAAACTTGTGTCCAGCTTTTAGGCTGGTTGTGCCATGGCATTTGCCAGACTGTAATGGTCTTCACTGGAAGAAATTCTTTGCTGTGAGGGTGGTGAGACACTGGAAGAGGTTGCCCAGAGAAGCTGTGGCTGCCCCATCCCTGGAGGGGTTCAAGGCCAGGCTGGATGGGGCTTGGAGCAACCTGGTCTGGTGGGAGGTGTCCCTGCCCAGGGCAGGGGGATTGGAACTGGATGATCTTTGAGGTCCCTTCCAACTCTAACCATTCTATGATTCTATGAACTTTGAGTTGAGGTTGTATTTCTTGTGAATATGTTGCATTGGTTTCCTTTCCAGTACAGTTTCCTTAGGTTGTGGTCTTAAAAGAGTGTCACAGTGTGGTTCCACAGCCCCAGGTACGATGCTGGTTGTGTTGTAAGGACATGGCACTGGGCGGGAGTGCCAGGTACGATGCTGGTTGTGTTGTAAGGACATCACACTGGGTGGGAATTGAGATAGCTCTGTTGCTCCATTTGGTGATAACCCACAGTTAAGAATGGATTAAAAATCAGGATTTAGAGGACACGATGTGATATCCCAGGACCCCGACTCCAGTCAGAAATGGATCAGTTTACTGTGAAAACATGTAAACTGCTTGTGTTCGTGAGTTCTTGAACCTCTTGGGTTCTGCAGCTTTTAATACATTTGCTGATAACTTTTAGTCTTCTTTTTTCATACTTTTCCATTCTGAAGGGTCGTTTTGTTTTTTCCAGTCATCTCACTGGTCAAAAAGGTTTTTCCTTTTGAATGGGAATCATTAAATGTAATGATTTTCCATTAAGTTTGTACCTAATAAAAGAATGTACAGCAGTGACTTTAAATTTCTTATTTTAAGTATTCTTATTATTCTGCAATTCCCATAGCTGAGATTATAAATAGTCTGTATGAATCACAGGAGTTCCCTATTTAACTACTTTGATACGTTGTCGAATCTCTTAGGAAGGTTGTCTTCCTCCCCACGTGCAGTTTCAGTTCAGTCCTTGTTTCTATCTGATCAAAAAGTGGTCTATAGTTTTCTCTAGTCTTGATTACAGGAACTCTTTACAGTACACTACAAATGCTAAAAGTTTTGAATGTTGTAAATAAAATTTAAAAAAAAAATCAGAAGTAACACAGGTGATACTGCCTTTTTTTCTCTAGTCTTGATTACAGGAACTCTTTACAGTACACTACAAATGCTAAAAGTTTTGAATGTTTTAAATAAAATTTGAAGTAACACAGGCAATACTGCTTTTTTTTTTTCCTCTTAAATTTGGACTAAAATTTTCAAAAATAGGACTCTGAAGTGAAGAAACTACATTAGCATTTCAGTTCTAAAACAGCAAAGGTGTCTTTTGTTATTAAGATTGACAACACTTGTATTTTTCTATTCAAGTATGGAGAAGATAGACCTATTGATTATGCTGAAATTACTTGTGAGCTTGAATCTAACATAGGTAAGTGTTTTGTTGAGCGGAGGCTGAGCCAAAGTCCATAATAATGATTTTCCTTATGCGTTCAGTAGACTGTGATTTAATTAGCATAAATGATCTGCCTTCTGTGAAGGTGCAGACCTTTGTGTCTCCCATGGGGGGCAAGGGAAATAGGACTTCCCAGTGTTGAAAAGTCAGGTCACTTGAGTTGTTGTGATAACTTGGTCTTTAGTCTTATTTCAGTGGAAGTTACGTTTGTATATAAAGAGTATCTGACAGATGGAGAAGAGTCTGCCTTCATTTTGATCAGAGTCATTAGCTCTAAAGAGAATGGATTTGTCTTTGTCCAACAACATTACACTCTCACTAAACTGCCTGAACAGAGACTAATAAAAATCAGAAAAAATTGTCCATCAGTTAGGATTCATTTCTTAACATGAAAGTTAGTAGTTCAGAGTTGTCTTTCAGATATTTCCCCCTAGTTGAAAAGTAAGACAATAAATGGATATACAGCATTTATAAACAGCAATTACTGACACTGATCCACATCAGGAAATAGCAAAAATCACATTCAGAGTTTTTATCGTGCCAGACAGCAGCCAGGCTTTCTCAAAAGGCAATAAAATGGTCTTGAATTTTACCTAATATGTGCTGAAGATGATTTAGGAAAAAACCCAGATAATTAGTTCTCTATCTCTGAAGGGATTAAGGAACGTGTTATTTTTAAAGCAGCTATTGAGCAGCATAGCTATTATATGTCTATATTTAAAGAAATGGTGCACTTCTAAACCTCGCTATCACAAAATCCGTTTTATAAACCGCTGTATTTGTGTATTGCAGGATTCTGCAAGTGAAGTTCTTGTACCTACATCAATAAAACTCTGATTAAAGCACGATGCACAGTACACCTTTGGAGGTTCCTTCTAAGGCAACTTTGTCAGCACTAACAATAGGGAGATGTTTTGTGAAAAGAAGGACTCACATTTTAACTGAAAAAGTTGTGATGTTGGGAAGATCATGCAAATATAGGGATGCTGACTGGGCTCAGCAATGTGAAGTTGTGCAAAGAGTCTACCCTGAAAGTCAGATAAACAAAACCTTGGGCAACAAATAAATATCAGTTCACAGTTTGGGTAATAATACCCTAAGCAGCTTGGAGCTGCTTGTGCTCTTATTCCTGCATGGAGTGAGGGATGTTGCAATTAGTCTTCACGAGCTTAGAACTGTGGTAGACTTCTTTCTGTGGGCAGTAGAAACTTGGTGGTGGTGAGTTTTCTAGTACTGGGGTAGCCCGTAGAGTTGATGGAAATGATAGTAGAAGCATAGTGTATGAAAAATGACTTCAGATCTCAGATCTCATAAATGTTTGTTGAAAGGGACTTCTGGAAGTCATTCACTTCTGCTTCCTGCTTGAATTGGGACAGTCACCAACACTCAGGTCAGTTGTAGCTTTGTCTTGTTGATTCTGCAGTCCCACTAGGTCGTCTGTTCCAGTGCTCAACTACCTTCCATAGTGAAAAAAAAATAATCTTGTGATACCTGATTTGACCTTCCCAAGCTGCAATTTGTGGCTGGCTGCTCCCCCTTGTCTGCTGCTGTAGAGGAAAGTTTGGCTTAGTCATCTTTGTGAAGGCTTTTTGAATAGTTGTTTTTATCGTGCCAGACAGCAGCCAGGCTTTCTCAAAAGGCAATAAAATGGTCTTGAATTTTACCTAATATGTGCTGAAGATGATTTAGGAAAAAACCCAGATAATTAGTTCTCTATCTCTGAAGGGATTAAGGAACGTGTTATTTTTAAAGCAGCTATTGAGCAGCATAGCTATTATATGTCTATATTTAAAGAAATGGTGCACTTCTAAACCTCGCTATCACAAAATCCGTTTTATAAACCGCTGTATTTGTGTATTGCAGGATTCTGCAAGTGAAGTTCTTGTACCTACATCAATAAAACTCTGATTAAAGCACGATGCACAGTACACCTTTGGAGGTTCCTTCTAAGGCAACTTTGTCAGCACTAACAATAGGGAGATGTTTTGTGAAAAGAAGGACTCACATTTTAACTGAAAAAGTTGTGATGTTGGGAAGATCATGCAAATATAGGGATGCTGACTGGGCTCAGCAATGTGAAGTTGTGCAAAGAGTCTACCCTGAAAGTCAGATAAACAAAACCTTGGGCAACAAATAAATATCAGTTCACAGTTTGGGTAATAATACCCTAAGCAGCTTGGAGCTGCTTGTGCTCTTATTCCTGCATGGAGTGAGGGATGTTGCAATTAGTCTTCACGAGCTTAGAACTGTGGTAGACTTCTTTCTGTGGGCAGTAGAAACTTGGTGGTGGTGAGTTTTCTAGTACTGGGGTAGCCCGTAGAGTTGATGGAAATGATAGTAGAAGCATAGTGTATGAAAAATGACTTCAGATCTCAGATCTCATAAATGTTTGTTGAAAGGGACTTCTGGAAGTCATTCACTTCTGCTTCCTGCTTGAATTGGGACAGTCACCAACACTCAGGTCAGTTGTAGCTTTGTCTTGTTGATTCTGCAGTCCCACTAGGTCGTCTGTTCCAGTGCTCAACTACCTTCCATAGTAGAAAAAAAATAATCTTGTGATACCTGATTTGAACTTCCCAAGCTGCAATTTGTGGCTGGCTGCTCCCCCTTGTCTGCTGCTGTAGAGGAAGGTTTGGCTTAGTCATCTTTGTGAAGGCTTTTTGAATAGTTGTAGGCAGTTGTTAGTTGTCCCTTAGACTCCCTTAGCTGGTGTAAACCAACCCAGCCTCTCAACCTTTCCCCATAGATTAGATATTCTGTGCTTTCTTTGTATTTATGAGAATAAAATAATTTTTAATGCTCGCCGTAGGTGATAACACTCTTCATCTTCTCGCTAGAACTCACGTTGTGACTGTTTTGCAGATGTGCACTAATAAAAATGAGTGATAATGCACTGGAAGTGTTGCTGATTTGCTGTGGTCTTCTTCCTTCCAGGCTCTTCGCTATTTGGCCGAGTGCCGCGCCAACAGAGAAAAGATGAAAAGCGAATTGGGTATGATGCTCAGCTTGCAGAATGTAATACAAAAGTAAGTTTATGATGGGTTGGTCATTCCAAAGACTGTGCAAGACATTCTGATGCAAAGTAAAAGCTTGACTCTGACTTCATATAGCAACTTTTTAATACTGCTTTATTCCTCTTTGAAGTTCCGTGGTTTTCATTTTGTAGTACAGCAAAGTATTTAGACCTTTGTCTACAAGAAAAATTCATTTGAAACTCATTTACCAAACAACAGACTTCTTGCTCTTGCTACAGATAACTCATTTTATTTCTTCCCTTTAGGTTCTCTTATAATCCTTCTCATCGTTGTATAAGGGTGCCTTGCACTAAAGCATTTGATGAAATTGTTTGGCATCTGGGATGTTTATTGTTTGAATCCCACCTCTGGGAAGGGAAATTGTACATGCAATATCTTTGTTTTGCTGAATTTTTGAAGGCATGTATCTGCAGTTCTGGGTGAGGGAACATCTTGCAGGTGGAGCAGTAGCTAGTGAGGCTTGTAGTGGTCTCTAATTTCTTTGTACAATGTCTCAGCTGGGTTATGTCTCTTAAAATTTGTGACTGGGATTTTGTTAAGATTGCTGAGCATTGAGTCTTGAATACTGGAAGATGTATGGATATATGCATGCTGGAGTAGGTGCACATGTGCACTTATCAATGGAAATTAGTGTGATGAACTAAGATGAGTCGTTATTAGAAAGAAAAAAAATCAACCTCCTTCAAAGATCAGTCTGTCATAGCAAAAAACTTAATTTGCCATCAAATTATCAAAAGGTGATTATTTTATGTAGAGTGTGATAGCATTCTGGTTAACTGGACATTTCAGATGTGAAGGACTGTTCTGTGAGGGAGGAGAAAAATCAGGCTGCTGCACTGAGATGTGTCTCAGATAAATGTTCAAAACAATTACTTAGAAAAGGATGAAACAGAAGCAAAATTCTGTGTTAAAGATTCAAGTGGAAAGCTGTTGAATCTTTAATATGTTAGTTGAATCTGTAATGGATCACTTGTGGTATATGTTACAACTTTCTTTTACCCAAGGCAAGACTTTGCTAATTCCTTCATCCTGTAACCCCTCCAGTTCTTCGTGGTGCACCATTTGTTGTTGTGTCTCTCTTTCTTTGACACTGCTTATCTGAAACTATGAACCTCAAGAATTGGGGGGGAAATTCTGGTCTGTTCACAAGTCCTGGGAGCTAAGATTAAAACTGTTTACCTTCAAGGACTTCATTAATTCTACTGTAACTAACAAGATTATGTCTTGGCATGAAAGTCAGCATTATGCCTAAATATCATCTTGTTATTCACCAGTTACCCAAAACGTGAGGATTTAAAACAAATGTCTTTAATAGGTCAATGAACTAAATGAGTAGAATTCAGAAGTGAATAGGTTTTTTTTGTTGTGGTTTTTTTTTGGCATAATGTAATAATTATAACTTTTAAAATGATAGGTGTTTTTAGCAGGATGCGTGGGGGAAAATAGAATTAAGTCTTAGGGTAGTCGCCTTTCTTAAGGATGAGTATAACTAAGCTAAAATATACAGAGTTGTTTGCTTGCTACTTTTATAATATCAGTAAGAACTGAAATGTTTAGGTAATAACAGAAGTATGTGTTTCATAAGAATTTACTTTAGGTATAGATTATGAGTCTATTTAGAGCACAGAGACATCCCTAAGAAGTTGTTGAAAGGGGAATAGTAGTTTATTATCAATCTCTGCAGCTCACAAATATTACTCAGGAAACAGTCATAATTAAAATTTTTGTTTAAAGAATATTATGGAAATCTCTTCAACAACCTTTCTTTTATTTTTCTGCATTTCAATTTCAAGGACCAAAAGAGTGTGAAGTTCAGAAACGTGCCCAAAAGGAGAGATAAGTTAGTAAAAACTGGAAATCTCGTAGGTGTTCTTTTTTTCTAGAAGGCTCTTTGGCAGGAGTAAGAACATACATTTGATTTGTATGCTTGTAACATTTGGAAAGTGTGATATCATGAAAATTTAAATAACATAGCATCTTCAAACACAAGACTTTGTCATGTGCTTGTCAGGATTTTAGGCTTTAACGTTGACAGGAAATGCTGAAGCTAAGTTTTGTGTTGCCTGCAGAAATATGGAGAAAGATGGTAGGAAAGTGCTGAGAAGATAGATGTAGAATTATTTTTGTCACAAAAAAACCAATGGTTTGGGGTTGTGTTTTTTTGTTAGAAAGTCCGTAGGGGAGAAAACAAGGTCTCTACCTTTTTCAGATTTGCTTTACAAAAAGAAGATTCTGGCTCTTAATGTGATTTCAGTTTAGCAGAAGATATTGTAGTCCTTTGAACTGAAACTAAACATTAATAAATGCAGTAATAAATGCTTTTGTCTAAACGATTTCGTGCTGTGCATTCCAGTGTACTTTCCAGAATCTGTGCATCTAACTCATCTAATCTAAAATCTTTTGAGGATTTCCACAGTTTCATTTGGGGTTTAGATACGGGAGGGTTTTTTGATGTGCTATAAAAATATCAACAAATCATACAAAGAGATATGAACCTCTGTCAGGATTCTGCTTTTCCAGTTAGTGCCCAGTTCCTTCAAGCAAGACGGAACCCAGCATCTTCTGGACCAGAAGATGCAATCGGTGGCTTTTTGCTCTTGACAGGTTAAGCGTGGCCTGTGGTCTGAATCTTTTCCTTCCATCAAGGATTTTGTAACTTGCTGTTCTCTTTCACTGATTTCTGACTTAACTAAACGATATCCCTCTCCCTGTTCGTGGATCCCTGGATCATGACAAACTGTGTTGTGCCACTAGTAAAGCTCTGTTATGGCTTTTCAAGCGATGAAAGGGAGCTCGTGCCCACAGAGGAGAGTTGCAAACTGAGTGTTTGTCCTATTTCAGACTTGAGTTGATGTTCAGCAGCGCTGAACAGAGGCTGTGCTTAAGAAGTCAAAGAGTTTGTTTAGAATTCCAGCTCTCTCTTGCATTTCGTTAGGTGAATCCTGAAACGTGGGGGCTTTGCTCATCATGTGAGAGTCTTTTTATAGGCCTTGAAGGTCTCTATTAAATACCTCACGTTCAGATGTGGAATTTCTTCTTGTAACCAGTCTGACAGATCGTCAGGTGGTCGATCCCATCAACTGGGAAAGATTTGGAGTTGGTTTGCTACTTATGATCTCTTGTGATAGTAGATAAGAGCCTCAGGCACAGGCCAAAATCTTTGTGTTGCAATTAATACACAACCAATGGAAGAAGAATATAGCACTTGTTTAAACTCATTATTGTGAAGGCAAAGTGCTATTTCCTTCGAAAGACTACCGAAGATGAGAGTTGAAGTTGAGTGCCAACTGTTTATCCAGTGATAAGCAGTAAATTGTACTGCATCACAGAAAATAGATAGGACATGTTTGAGAGACATCCACATTTAACTGTAGTTCTTTGAGGTACCTTCACGTCTCATTTAGTGACTTAAGAGTTCCCTAGTATTATCTGATCAGCTTTGGTATTTGTTTATAATAAGCATTATAGTTCCATTCGTGAAAATCATTTTGCTGCTTAAAATGGATGTTTGTCTGACTCCTTAGATAATACTACATTTCAGCTAAGGAACAAAGGATAAGTTTTGTGTTCACTGTGACAGTGATTTTCAAGATGTATGAACACTAGTTTTTGTTAACAGAAGAGTAACAGATTTTAGAGACTGGAACTTGCAGGCTCTAGAGCAGAAATATGAAATGTCAGCTCTGAGGAGTACAGAACAAAAACTTGAAGGCAGTGAGTTCTTTATATATTTAGGAATTTTTTTTTCAGACTGAACTTGATTTGGAACATGTATGACTTTCTGAGATACTTCATGTGAAAGGCTTTATACACTTCCACATTTTCTAGGACGTATGAGAAGCTGTTCGAGTTTTATGGAATACTTCAAAATGTTTTTCAAATAGAAAAATTTCTGTTGCCCTATTCTCTATGTGCTATTTTTTTCCTTAGCGGGGGAGACTTCTTGTTTGTTCATCCACATCTGCTTATCTTTAAGTGAAGCTTGATGCATCTTTCCATGTTATAAATGAAGAGTAGTAACTGTGTTTGACAGAAATCAGATCTTTAAAATCCCTACCTGCAGGTTTCCAAACTTTTTCTTTTTTTTTTTATGGCTGATACTGCTTTACTGCTATCACAAAAATGTTGCATCCCTTGCCAGGTGATGGAGTACCCGTGAGTGTGTGTGTAGAAGTGTTTGTGTAAATAGATAAAAGGAGAGGAGAATTTGAGGCTCCTTGGAGAATAGCATTTCATTGTATTCCCACAGTCATCAGCAGTTAGTTAATATTGAAAACTGGTTTAGTTGCTGGCTTTATGAATTGTATGGAGGACTTAATGTGTCCGTATGGACTTTATAAAATGTTATTAGCAGCTCCTAGAATTAAAATTAATTAGGATTTATAGCCTACAAGGAAATATACTAATTTGTGTTCGGTGTGAAAGTGACTTTTGATGGACAGTAAAGGTCAAAGTTCGTAATTTTTCATAATCTTTATGAGCAGCATAATGGTACTGTTTAAATATAACTAACATGTATTTAAAAAAAAAAAACTGATGAAGAGTCAATATACTAAATAGCTCTTATTATAGAACGGCAAATTACTGAGAGTAAAATTCCAATTACTTAGCTAAAAGAGCTTCTCAAGATAGTCTTCCTTTGCCAGGGTGTCAGATTTAACAAGCTGAACTAAATCCAGTGCATTAATCAGCTCTTCCAATTTATTACTTGCCTAAGAAGATTAGGGCAATTAATATGTGTTTAATTAGAGTCCCTTGCAGGTCTGGTAAAATACATGCAGTCTATAATTGCTAACTTCTTCCTCAATTTTAATTTTTGGTAGTCTTAATTACCTATACTTCTTGAAAATTTAATTATTTGTTGAAGCCAGCAAAATTTAAATTTACGATGTCTGACAATAAAAAAAAAAAAAAGCCAAGTATTTCAGGTAGTATTTGCTGAAATTAAAATAGTAGGGATGTAACATTACAGTAGTTTTATCATTTCTGCT